ATCAAATTAAAATTTAAAACTTTTTTTATTGGGCTAAAGTTTTTCATTTGAGCTTAATTCACAATCGAAAACCTATTTTTAATCTTGAAAATAATTTTCAGATAAATAAAGTGTCTACATAAATCATAATATTCAAACCAAATAATAAAGAAAATATATGTATGCAACGAAGGAAAGTTGTCCGACGTAAGTATAGATGATAAATACTTATAAAAAGATATAAAAATATATAGTAAGCAAAGAAAAAAATGACATATATAGACAAATATAAATAGTAAAAAAAAGATAAAATTCACACATATTAATAATGTATATGTGCGATGACGTTGAGTGGTTTATGGTTGATAGCGACGAGAGAGATGAAGAAACCAAAATGCAAAGTAAATGAGCTTATGGGTTTAGAAAAATACATGTATTGCAGCTTTATATCATTTAATTGTATTAGTCGTTTTGAAACCAAAATGCAAAGTAAATGAGTTGATGGGTTTAGGGAAATACACGTATTGCAGCTTTTTATCATTTAATTGTATTAGCCGTTTTGCTTTTCAAGGTTCAAGAATAGGGAATGAATATTTTAAAATGATCAATTAAGGCGTTTGTAAACATAAATGTCTTAATTGATTAATTTAAAAATTATTTTTAGGTCAATTAAGGTATTTGTGTATAAAAATACCTTAAATGATTGATTAAATAAGACGTTTTTATACACAAATACCTTGATTGATCTACATTATATTTTTAAATTGATAATCAATTAAAGTGTTTGTGTAACTAAACGCCTTAATTGATCCAATTTATAAATTATATATGAATGATTAATTAAGGCATTTGTGTAACCAAATGCTTTAATTGATCTTATTATAAATTTATAAAGAAATCAATTAACGCATTACACAAACGTTCTAATTGATCAAATTTATAATAACTTAATGCCTTAATTCATCCAATTTATAAATTATATATGAATGATCAATACTTATAAATAATATATGAAAGATCAATTAAGGTGTTTGGTTACAAGCCTTAATTGATCTTATTATAAATTTATAATGAGATCAATTAAGACATTTTGCTACACAAACGCCTTAATTGATCAAATTTATAAATTATAAATTTTAAAAAAAATCAATTAAGGTGTTTGTGTAACCAAATGCCTTAATTGATCATTTTATAAATAAAAAAAATAATCAATTAAGGCATTTAGTACTTTGAACGCCTTAAATAATCTTTTTTATAAATTAAAAATAACATCAATTAAGGCATTTGGTTACACAAATGCTTTAATTTATCTTGTTTTTAATTTATAAAAAGGATCAATTAAGGCATTCAAAGTGTCAAACGCCTTAATTGATCCTTTTTCTAACCTTTTTTTCCCATCAATTAAGGTGTTAATGTTTACTAATGCCTTAATTGATGATGTTTTATAAATAAAAATAACAATAAATTAAAAGATTTATTTTTTTAATATTAAAGGCATGATTATCGTTTGTGTTTTTATTATTGTTGTAATGTATTAGTTTGGAGACTCGATCACTAGACGTATTTAAAAATAGTGAAAAAATATAGAGAGTCGTTACAAATATTTTTTTAAGGTGTGATTGATCATTCAAAAAATTTATCTTTTTAATAAAACAATAAAATGAGTTTAAAACTTTATTAAAAATACTATTTTGGTATGGGAAAACAATATCAATTTGAGAGTTGGTTATGTGTAAGGAATTATTAGCACCCTCACAACGCCCATAAATTGGTATCAATTAATCATGCATTATTTTTTGTGTTGGATAAAGTAGTTTCGATTTGAAATTTAATAATATTTATCTTTTATTATTTTTTGAAAAAAAATATAATTTTAGTAAAGTTCTTTATTTAGGAATATCAAAGAAATCTTTAAGTTAAAAAATTATTTACAAATTTTTCAACATTTGGTAGAATTTAAAATAATTTTTTTCGCTTAAGATTTATCACAACATTACTTCTAAAATAATAAAATAACACATTTTGTAAATATTAATAATTGATGACTCTCCCACATCTAGGTAAAGTATCATCAATTGTATTTTTAAAAATATTATTTTAATTTTATTTGTTCAAAACTAAAAAAAAAAATTAAAAAAAGTTTTTATGCATTAAAAATATGAAAAATAATATAATTAACATTAAATATCAACAAACACACACACACACACACATATATATATATATATATGTATTATAAATAAGTACATTAATTTAGAAAAACGAAACGTATGTAAATAATGATCAAATTTGAATTTAGAAATTGTTTTCAAATATAAAAAGATCACTTGGACTCTCTAATATCTGACAGAATTTGAGTGTGACTTTTTATATTTAAAAATCTCATTTAATTATTTTTATTATTTTATATTTATTATTTTAATAAAATGAATTTATTTCAAGTTTGTAGAAATGTATGAAAATTCTTAATAAAATAAAATTTTCTAAATATCCTAACAAATAAGTAGCATTTGAGAACATATTACTTCATAAAAGATTTTCATGCAAATATTCATAAAATTTTCTAAATACCTCAATATTTAAACGGTATTCGAAATTTAATTAATTTACTTACATTATATTTATGATTAGATAAATATAATTACACTAAATCAAATTAAAAGTTTAATAATTTAATATGTTTTGCCAAAAATAAATTTATTATCAACAACTCAAAATAATTAAATATGACCTCATTCAAAACTATGCATTCAAAATAAATAAGTAAAAATCTAAATAATTTAAAATAAATTTACCACAATTTAGATTTCAAACTTAATTCAATAAAAGAGTTCAAAGCAAGTGGATTAAGGTTGGGGCTTTGTTTGTAGCCCGATTTAGTAGTGGGCCCAATGGGTATAGTTGGTGTTGAACCAGTGGGCACGGGTCGGTTTGACTTGTTTGACTATTTTTCTCTCTTTTGTTTTTAGCTTCTAAAAGCTTCATTTTTTTTTAACATCATTTCATCACCTATTTTTAACAAAAAAACCCCTCTCTTCTTTAAAAAAAAAAAAAAAACATAGGCTCTCCTAGCCCCAGTTTCTGGCGCAGCCTCGTCACGACCGTCGCCGCTTTATTGCCAGCGCCGCCACTAGTCGATGGTCTTTTGGGTTTTAAATTTCGATCGTAGGTTTTTTTTGGTATCCTCGTCATAGATCTGAGCCTTGTTTTCCCCAAATCAGCTTCTAAAGTCCCAAATCTACAATGGAAGTCTAAAACTTAAAATCGCCAAAAGTCTCAATCCCATTGTCCGATCCTATCAAATTTTTTATATGTTGTTCACCCCTATTCTATCTTCGTTTCCACCATCACCGATTATCCAAAAGAAGCCATTGTCGTTCAACTCTTTTTTTTTTGTTTTTGATTTTTTTTTAGATAAAGGGGGTGTCTGGTCCGGGGCTTTTTAGGTGCGAGTGTGCAAGTAGGTGATGGGTCGGAGGGTGCCGATGTGGAAAACCAAAAGGGGCTTGGGCAAGGGTTGTGCTTGGTAACATGGGTGTTGTGTAGAGGTACGGTTGGGGTTGAGCTGAGGGCGTGCTCATGGGTGAAGGGTACGGGCGCCTAGACCTGGGGCATGCACTAGGTAGTTTGGGATACGGGTTTGGTTGGGGCTAGGGCTCTTCGGGGTTTAGTGTTGGATTTTGGTTAAATGAGGTATAGAAGGCTTAGGCATTTATGGAAGAGAGAGGTTCCTGTGGTGGTTGAGGTTTGAAACAGGGATGATGCGGGTGCTTGATGTACGGCTCTAGTTGATGAAAGTGCTCCCTCGGATATTGTTGCTTGGGTGTTTAGATGAAGGTCCCCTTCTCGGGTCTTGAAAATGTTAGGCTTTATCAAAAAAAAAATTTTGTTTTGTCTCCGAGCTATTTTTGTAGGGTTTTGATTTGGCAGGGCAATACAAGGTAGTGAAGTAGGGTGTTAGATGTTGTGTGCAGTGGCCAGACAGAATTGGTAACAGAATTGGTAGTGGTTGTCGGTCACTCCTTATATTTTTTTTCTTTTTCATAATTTATTTATTTATTTTGTAAATGACCTTTTGTAATTAATTTTTATCTTATATATTTTTTGATTAATTGAAGTAATAATAATTTGATTAATTAATTATTTTTTCATATATATTTTGTAATTTTTCAAGTAAAAATAACTAATTTAGAACAAATTTGAATAAATTTAATCTGATTTAATACTTAAATTGATTCAAATGAAAAACATGCAAATCGAGTTTAAAAAATCAAATAAATTTAAATTAATTTAGATAAAATTAAATGTCTATAATTATTAATAAAATAAAATAAAAAATTATCATTATATATATATTAAAAAAATTATGAAAATTATATAATAATTAATATATATGAAAATTTTTTAATCAAATGAATGAATTTAAATTTGAATTGAATATAAAATATCTTAAAAATTAAAAAAAATTTTAAATATTATATTTTTTAAGAATTATGTTTTTTTTTTAAATCTAAAATTTTACGAATCAAATACTCATTTAAAAGTTTTTGAATTTGTAAATCTAAGTTAAAAGTTGAAGGGATAAGAAGAAAAAAAAAAGAGTAAATAAATAATTTTATTTTAAAATGTTTTTGAAAAAAAAAGTATGAATAGAAAAAAAAATGTATTTAAAGGGTAAACTTAAATAAAATTTTTTAAGTGAAGTTGTGAAATTTTTTATTAAAAATGATTAAATAAAAATAAAAATCGATATATTAAAAGATATTATTATATATAGATATCTAATATGTAAAATTAAAAAAATTTAATAAATTGATATATTTTTTAGATAGATATTTTTATTAAAAATATAAATAAAATTTTTATTATTAAATAAATATAAATCAAATTTATATTAAAAATAATTTTTTAGTATTAATTTTTATATTAAAATTTATCAATTTATTAATTTAAATATTTTATTAAATCATTTAAAAAAATTCACAAACTTTACCTACAGTTTCGTTAAATTCACACTTACGCACTCATTGACGGAAGTTCTATGAAAATGAGGCCACTGTAATTACACAAGTACCCTCCACAACCAAAAAAATCTGAAATCTGCCACTCTTGCAACAATCCATCAAAACCTCAATTCAGAACTCATCAAAGCTCTAGCAGAAGTACCAAGGCCGTATGGAGGACGAGACAGCAGAGAGCAGGAAGAAAGCAAGACTAGCCATTATGGAACTGGCTAACATGATAAGCGTGCCCATGTCTCTCCATGCCATCGTCCGTCTCAACGTACCTGATGCCATCTGGCAACGCGGAGCCAACACCCCTCTCTCCGCCCTCCAGATTCTCTCTCGGGTCCTCCCTCCTGGCGGCGGAGATCCCGAGAACCTCCAGCGTATCCTCCGTATGCTCACCAGCTACGGTGTTTTCACTGAACACCTTGACTGTACTGACTCCCCTGAAAGAAAATACTCCCTCACTGACATCGGAAAAACACTCGTAACGGACGCTGAGGGTCTATCATATGCACCATACGTGCTTCAGCACCACCAGGTTAGTCAATCCCACTTTTCATTTTTAACTATTCTTTCCAGATTTTCTTAATTGAGTTTTTCTTAATCATTTAAGAAAGATTTCAGCATTGAAATCATCACATTAGTTTGATTTGCATTGCTTAATAAGTCAATAGGAATTGGCTGATTATAATCGACGGCCGTGTGATCTGTTAGTACTGAACTTTATTTCAAACTTCAAGTACAAAATAAAAGTGATTGACTGTTCTTAGTAATACTATGCAATTCAGGATGCTTTGATGAGAGCGTGGCCATTGGTGCACGAGGCAGTGTTGAATCCAACATCAGAGCCGTTCGTGATGGCAAATGGTGAGGCAGCTTACAGTTACTATGGAAAGAAGCCAGAAATGAATGGACTGATGCAAAAGGCTATGTCAGGTGTATCAGTGCCATTCATGAGCGCTATATTGAACAGCTATGATGGGTTTAAAGAGGTGAAGAGATTGGTGGACGTGGGAGGGAGTGCAGGGGATTGCCTGAGAATGATTTTACAGAAACATCCCCATATAAATGAAGGGATCAATTTTGACTTGCCTGAAGTGGTTGCCCAAGCACCAAACATTCCGGGTGAGATTTTTGTCTTCCTTTAGGGCTATTGTTTTTCTTGGTTGAATGATTCAACGTATTCTTGATTTTCTTGAGGAATTCCACTGTTTTAGGCGTGAGCCACGTTGGAGGTGACATGCTTAAATCCATTCCTGCTGGTGATGCAATCTTCATGAAAGTGAGTTTGATGTTTTCTTAATAATTTACATACTGAATATTGAAAAGTATGTTCATGAACTGTTTTTTTAATTTGTCACTAGTATCCCAATCTAATCCTTTTCATTTTTTTTTTATATCAAAAGGGAATATTCATCAAATAAGACAAAATGTATTGATAAAGATGTTTACCCACTTTATAATCTCACTGACCTGTCTCATTGTTTTACTTTATTGCTAGTACAATTGGATATGAAATTTTCTAGTGCTAATGAAAAGAGGTAAGGAGAGTGAAATATAGTAAAAGATAATATTAAATTTGTAAATTTACAGTTGAATAATGTACTGCATGCTTTAGTTATTTCCTTGGTTTACACGTTGAATAATGTCCTACATGCTTCTGTTTAAAGAAACCCTTAAACAAGGAAAGACCCATCACCTACCGCACCATGGATTCCTTTTTCTCATAGGGTTATCTTATTATGGGGAGGAATTAAATGCTGCTATGCTTACAAAGATTCATTGATTAATTTACACAAATGAACCAAAGTATAGAAAAAGAAGTCTGAGAATTTCACATGTCCTGGTTTCCTTCTGCCTTTTCTTTTAAGTTTTGGTGTCAATATTAGTCTAGAACTCGCTAGATAATTATGAATTTAGTGGCTGCATAGGTTTTCTTTGTTTGATCGGAAAGCCAAGGAAGTAAAAGAAAGAACTGCATGCCCAAGTCATTGTTGTACCCCTCTGATACAAAATACAGCCAGGAAATATTTAATCAATCAAAGCTTCTTATTTTCCACACAGGATGTCCTTTCATTGCCAACTTCACTCTCTGTCCTGTCGTTTTTTTAATCAACTTAAATTATTGACTTGCCGCTGGCTTTGAAGCCCTGTTAATTGTTAGGTCTAAGCCCACAAAAATTTTGACGAGACTTGATGAAAAGCTGATGGCATTCATTTGACATTTTGACTATGACTGGCAGTGGATCTTGACTACCTGGACGGATGATGAGTGCAAGCTGATAATGGAGAATTGTTACAAGGCACTTCCTGCAGGAGGCAAACTGATTGCATGTGAGCCAGTGTTGCCCAAGGAATCAGATGATAGTCATCGGACTCGGGCTCTCCTGCAAGGTGACATTTTTGTGATGACAATTTACAGGGCCAAGGGTAAGCATAGGACAGAAGAAGAATTCAAACAGCTTGGCCTCTCTGCTGGTTTCCCTCATTTTCGAGCATTCCATTTTGATTACTTCTACACTGTCTTGGAATTTCAAAAATAGAATGGAAAACTACCTGACTCAATAAAAGATACAGATAAAAATAAAAATAGGAACCTCATATGCTGATCTTTATTTGTTTGTCAATTGCTTTTCTAATTTCCCAACGTAAGAGTTGATTATATATGCTGTTTGTTGACAAGAGCATTGCTAGGACTGGACTGTACCTTTATGATATTGTTGTTTGCACCAAAGGGTGCTTTTGTTTCTATCAAATAAGACTTAATTTGGAGGTCTTTATTTGTTCCTCATATTCATGTGTTGCACATTGCACTTTCTTTTTTAAACCAAAGGGAGCTTAACTATTGATTTCCATCAATTTATCAATATTTTGGTTTTAAAACCCAAATTTGAAGGTTCAATCACGACTCTGCAAGAACTAATCACATTAACTTGCAAATAATGATTTCTCGGGAGGGTTTGATCGACATTATACAAAGAGTTACCCTTATGACAGGATTAATTAATCCTCTTTATTTCATCTACATTTAAAATTTCCCTCTGACACGAATTCATAGTCATAAATTCTACATAAACGAGTGGAGGGTATGAGTGTATATGTATCTACATATATTCTATCTTATCTATTTCTACCCTCATAACAAGGCCTAGTCTTGAAGCCATTCATCTCCATCAATGTATGAAGTGTTCATGTAGGCAGCTGCTTCATATTCCATTAGCTGCTTCCCATAAGAAACTCTAAATGAGTAGTTTGCTCCAGGCCCTAAGCACTCATATTCTCCAAAAAGTACTGTCCTGGAAATAAAAATTTTACATATTATGCTAAAATCGCAGAGAAATTATTATTAATACTGTAAAATAATTTCCATATAAACATAAAACAATGTATATAAATACGATTCATCATGATGAAAATCAGTAAAAATTTTGAAAACATGAGAAGAAAACATACTTTATATGTAAAGTTAGAAGAAAAGTTTTGTAATATGTTTGAAACTGTATTATATAAATTAAGAGGATTGATGGATCAAACAACAGACTGGTCTCTAGAGGGGTCTCGCCAGTCATTCCATCCGGCTGGAGCCACAACATCAGACATGTACGTTCTGGAAAAGACGACAGTGGCATAAGCTCCCCAAGCTCTTCCAAGCCAAACGCTCCCAGTTCCTCGAATGATGCAATCCACGAATGAAAACCCTGTTTGCTCATTCACCGACTGCCTCGCTTGAGCTGTGATGGATCCGCTAACTCCAGTTGTCCCTTCTTTAGCAATTGAATGAATAACACACCCCTGTCATAAATTAGTGTAAGTTTGTAACATTTGGGGGACAAAAAGTGTTGGTATTCAGGCAATGTGTCACTCACGGTTCAACACTGAAAGTGAAAGAAGCAGGTTAGCATGTGAACATATATGTGACTTGAGAGAAAAGCTACCTTTGTCACTCAAAAAATCGACCTTACTCTAACTTGACGAGACAATATCATGAGCCAATGTATAATCTCAACCAAAAATGGAACACCTAACTCAAGCCGGCTCAAATCCTTACATAAGCTACCTTAAAATTAAATGATACAGTTAATGGCCCCAACATATATTGGTCCAAATCTCTAAAAAATAACTAAACATTGTCGTGATTCACCAAAACCATCACTATGCCTAGAATATCAATTAAGATGCCTATGCATGCCCAGCAAGTATCCCTTTGCTTGTCCAAAATTCAATAAAATAAACTGCAATGGTAAAAATCAGTATTTAGTGAGAAAATTCACCAAAGTTACTGTACCTTGTAGAGTGATCTAGCATTTCCAAATATGAAATCAATGGAACCTTGTATGAAACATCTTTCGAAATAATGCCTCCCACGATCATCAAGAAGCGTGTCTTGGGCTCCGTAAAATCCACAATTGTAAAATGCAGCTTGATCACCTGCTATTCTAAGTGCCACTGCTTGCTTTCCAGTTTCACCCGGAGATGGCTCTGCAGCTGTATTCTTTTCGAGAAATTGGAACCCAACCCAACAAATAGCCATATCAAATGAATAAGAAATCAATGCTAACCAATAACTAAATTTCAGTAAATATATAAACAACTTCAGGTTTTTACTAGGATATACATGAGCTACTTAGTTTTCGGTAATAGATTATTGGACTTAAGATTGAGAGTTTAACTTGGGTTTTGGGCTAATTGAACTGGTTTCTGGATTCTAGTTAATTATGCCATATTTTAATCTTGGTCTTTGACTTATCGAAATAAAATTTACGTTGGATTTTGGGCAAATTGGACAGATAAATGGAGCATAGTCACCTTTCAGCACCTGTAGATTGGAGTGAATATGACAACATACATGCACAGTGAGCTGAAGCTAAATTTGTAGGATGCAAAGTTACATGGCTACTTCTCAACCTAAAAGAGTAAGAGTGACAACTAATTACCTTAAAGCTAATGTTGTAAGCTGTAAAGTTAGGAGCAAAGATGGCAACTGAAGAGCTGTATACAGTCCCTCCAGTGGAATTCGCAGTGTCATTCCATTCTATTACTGTGTTGAGAAAACCCTCACCTTGAATTATCAAGTTGGATTTGCTTGCATGGACCACCACCTTCTCCCTGTCATTCATGCATGGTTCCAATCAATTAGGTTCCATGCAGAAGATTTCATTGTGCAGGATGAGTAGTTTTAGATGTTTATGGTGCATGTACGAATTCAGAACAAAGAAATTAACGAGTTGCTGAACCTCGGAAACGCCTTAATAATGACCTGTATGTACCAGAATAAATAACGACCAGGGTCTTGGAGGGGCTCAAGTCAGGAACATCATCTATCGCCTCCTGCACGCTGCTGAAATTGGCGCAACCCTTCAAGTCAACTGTTAATACAAGTGATACTTTGTACTGTGAAATGAGGTTAGACCTCCATTTGGTATGATCACATTTGTGCTTAGGCCGCCTTCGATGGTGGTGGTGGTGATGATGATGTCGTCTAGACACCATCCTTGTTAACAAAGATAGGAATTCACCACTTTGCCTGACGAAGGAAACTTGAAAACTACTATGCTGACTGCTTACGGTGATACTTGTTTTGGAGAAAGGAGGGACTGTATATAGAGCAATTAGAATGGAAAACAGTGCAATGAGAAAGGGAAAGAGCCAAAAGGAGTTTGTTCTGATACTCATGGTTAATGCTATGGGTTTAGTTAAGAGTATGATGTTATTTTAAGTTGAAAAGAGCAGAAGCAAGGTATGGCTTTATTATTCCCTTGGGATGGCTGAAGGGGTGGGTGATGATTGGCGTGGGAGGTAAGATACGTATAGGCCTTGTCAGTGTCATGTTTGTGCATCTATTGATAATTATGCCCTCTTCTTTAAAAGTAATGGTAAAGAGATGAAGAAAAGAAATGAAAGATGGTTACAGAGATAAAGAAAAGAAATGAAATATAATTGAAGGTTGGAAACTGCGTACGCTAAGCCATGAGGGAAAGAGAGAGACAGAAGGAAAGATTATGGCAATGATGAAAGTAAACGAAGTGCAAGGTTTGCATGTTTATTGAGTATTAGATACTTCTTAACCAATGTAAGACATAAAAAAATACTTAAATTAATCACGAGTTCTTATTATAAAGATTATCTAAATTTAATATTATATAGATAATAACATTTAAATATGTGATCTGTTGATAAAATATTAAATTTTTAATTTTAATGATTAATATTCAAATTTAAATAATTTCAAATACAACAAAAAATTGGCACGGAATGTTGAGTAACATATACTTCTTCACATTTATATTCAAGAGATGATGATGGAAATGCCGAAGATAATCATGACTACAAAGATTTTTTCGATTTGAGGCCATATATTTAGCATTTTAGCACAATCAGCCAAACGCCTATATTAAGCAACTTGTACATGACTTTCTGCTAATGGTCTCTCGAGTCCAGAGCTTTATGATTAAACGCAGGAGTTTTCCGAGTACTCTACAGGTATGAACCAGAGAGAGATTCTTTTTCTACACATATAATAACCTAGCGTTGGAGACAAACTCACTTGCCTCTTTTATGCTAAGAACACAAGTGTTTGGTTTTGCTTCAGATTCATGTGACCGCAGATGAGGCGTGACAATTCCTGGTCAAGGAATTTGTAGAAATCATTATTTCTTAAATCACAAAGGTGGAAGCCGCAAGCCAACCTACACTGACTCTGCTTTTAGGTAATTCTAAAATCAAATACACTGGTATGGGCTACCCATTTCTGATTTAAGTCGGTATCTCGCTTTCTGGTTTTCATTCAGACATTTATTCAGCAATTAAAAAAAAAAAAAAATACACACACACGCACTCACACGCTAAGAAATTTGAACATTGTCCAGTGTTCTTCCTCAATCCTTGTGGGAAAAAGACTGTTGTTGGTACGAGTTATTGATAAAAAAACTTCGAACTGCAATCCCACCGTAGTCCTAATCCACTTACAGAAAAATCCAAGCACTGAAATATAAACCCTAGTAATTTCAAATACCTACTCACTATTCTGCTAAATTCAAGTCCTGTGCCTGAATGTTTGGTAATAGTCGGATTAGAAATTTTAACAGCTTCACATTGGAGCTCATTCCAGTTCACAAATTGAGCTCACTTTTTTATCTTGACCTTAAAGTGACAGAGAATAAAACATTTATTTACCTCAATATCTACGTACATGCACAAATTAAATTAAAAAAAAAATACACACACACACATACACTTCCTTCCGCTCCAAAAATAGATCCCCCTTATTCCATTCCGTTACATAACTCTGTAGGCTCTGTACCATTAACATCTCGACAGGGAAGAACTTCTTTCTGTAGCATCAAAGTTCCTTTGAAAATCACCATCTGGCAGCAGGATTTTTTATATTCACTAAGCTGAAGGCAGAGGCAGATGTAAAGTTTCAGAAACATGGCAGCCAACCTGGATAACAGAATATAAGCACATTATGATGTATTGACAAACCTGGTCTGGTGTCAACTTCTTGAAACCGAATTTATCGGTCCAGATTGATTCTGCTTCTTCAGCTGCCGGAAGCACAATGTTTTTGACACTCAAGAATGCCAGCAGCTTCTCAATACAAGAGAACAGCAACTGGAAGTAGCCCTATAAGGTAATTTAGCTCCACTAAATCAAGACTGAAGAGAATGATATTGAAACAGGTAAAAGATAAAAGCAATCGTCAAAGTATATATATTATGCATTCAAAACTAATAATTTCCTAAAATCACAAGGAATTAAATGACAAGTGTAGGAAAAGCAACTCTAAGGGAGTCAGCAAGAAGGATATTCTTCAGATTGTATGGTGGGCAGGGCAACAATTAAGAACTTAAAAAAAAAAATCCAGTTTGCTACCATGGTGATAAAAATTACAAAGCCAGACAAGTGGAAACCCGACTAGAACATGTAAAACAGGTAGGAACTGTAGGCAAAGGTCATAAAGACAAAACTTGGGACCATTAGCCTCACCTTCCCATGGTTAGCAATGCTTGTAGCAACTAAAGGAAGTTCTGCAATTTCTTGCCCAAAAACTCTAATTATTCCAGCTGATACAACGAACGAGCTGCAGCATTAGCAAAACAGAATATTGTCAACATTCAAAAGCATTTAAAGCTTTGAATGTTATGTAAATATGTCTTACTTGATTGTCAATACAGCACAGTACATTCCCCCATATTCTTGGCCCTTTAAATTCCTTCTGTGATAGAGACAGAGAGAAACAAGGAAGCAAGTTTGTCAAAAAAAAAAAAAAGGACAACACACTCGTGTAAATATGCAACCAGCTATATCAAGCACCAAAAAAAGTTCTCATGCTTACCCATAAACCATGCATGGGATAAGGTCCCGCCCAGTTGTTGCATCAACTATAGGGTCGAAACATTCCTTTTGACAAAAAGAAGAAAGAAATCAGTAAAATTTCAGTGAAATAAGGCAAGCCATGGCCCCACATATCTTTTATGTTTTGACAAATAGAACATACCTATGACTTAAGTAGCATATCAAATCAGAGTCCCACAATGGCAAAATTATCTTACACTAGAAAATCACAGTTTGAAATAAAACATGCAAATCATGGCTACATTTTACCAAGCAATGTTTCAAACTGACAGGATACAATCCTGGTTGCAAAAACCTCACCGGAAATGTACATTTACCATCCCATGTCCCCCAAAAGCCATTAAAGCAGCCCCTACGCAGAGGCATCAAAGCAGCTATCAAGTGTCAATTTGTTTTTCAGCCAGAGAAAGAAAATGCATCCCTTTATCAATCCTTTCGGCTTAAATACTCTTAAAGATTAAATTTGTACAATCATTGTCTCTTTCTATATATTGTATTTAATGGGCAACAAGCTCCACCATCATAATAATGTCAAAACAAGGAAATATTAAGATGCCTCCAAATTTTAGTGATGATAGAACAGCAAAAATAAATAGCTAATGTTAAGGAGAAGGATACAAGGAAAGTAAGAGATAAATATGTATTAACCATATAGACTCAGTATTTTGCCTTTCTCTACCCCTTTAGCAGAAGAATGAGGACAAGAAGCATAAAGGTTAGTTACAGAGTGCAATCGACATTTCCATGCAACAAATTCAACCCAGAAAGTGTACTTTGCAAATAAATACTTGATAATAAACATATAATAATAGCAGTAATTACAGAAAAACATTGTCTGGCCAATTTGATCAATAGTGGCAACAACCATTGGTCATAAAATGAAACATATAAATACAACATGAACAAGACTTACATGGAAAATTCCAACTGCTTGAGAAAGCAACAATCTAGTTTCAGGAGATGCAAATTTGCCACTAAGAAGCCTCCATCTCACATCAATATTGATATCAGCATCCAAACCCTTTTCCACATACTTCTTCTTTATTATATCCAAAAGGGAGTCCGGAAGCTTTTCAGCTCCGTGAATGAGCAACTTCTGCAGTGTAGAATGGATCCTACTGCAATCTGAGCAGCAAAACCACTTCCCTCTTGGTATTTCCTGTTGTACAAGTGGCATCAGTATGTTCACCCAGTAACGGAATAATGTGTCCAATAGACAGGAACGGAGAGTTTCATATCAAAGAATCAAAGGAACAATAATCATAATAATACATACCCTTAGATCAGCCATTTTATGAGTCCTCAAACAGCCAATATGAAATTCTTTCTCACACTGATCCAAAATTATTTAAAAAGAAAAAAAAAAAAAAAACAAAAGATGCGCAAATTAGTGGAAACAATTAAAAGGAAAAATGTTTAGCAGCCCTGAAGGCCAATGTACAAAACAGGATGAAATGAAAATTTAACATTATACCTGATCACACAGTATAATTGTCCGAGGACCAAATCCTGATTTGCTAAAATCACATGCCCTATATAAAATAAAATGAAAGAAACAACAATTTCAAGCCAAATCAAGAGGTAATGAAGACAGAACTAAAGAAATTTATGAAATTTCACAATGCAAACTGTATAAGAATAGTCTTCATGAACAATATAAGCTTCAATCAGTTCATCCTAGTGTGTACTCATCACCTGCATAATGCGCATCCACTAAGTTCTGCCTCAATGTTTTTCACAATACGTATGCATCTGCTGGTTATTTGTTCTATAGCATCAACTCCTAAAATCCTTCCAGCAGCTACAGCATTAGCATTACGCTCCATACACTTTTCTTTCATAAACATGTTCTGACAATATTTGCAGTACCAGCGACCACGGGGAATTGTTGGTAGAGATGCACATTCTGCATAGATCAATAAAGTTGCTACTCAATATAAATCAGGTAAAACAGAGCTGTAAAATTAATCTTCAGAGGCAACTACAATAGTCTTCGACAGGTCACAGAAAACTAAACCACAACTCTAAGCATAACCATCTTTGTTCAAGATTATGAAACAAAGGACCGGATTTCAATAAGTAGAAAAATGAAAGGGACACCAGAAAACAAGCTTTGAATTTCTTAAAAGTTTAAAATAAAAGGTCTAGTAAAGTAAATCTGCCATGCAAAATGCCAATAGAAACATCTAATAACATGCACAAGAGAGACTAAGAAAGAGTACATTTATGTTGATATGAAATGCCATTGACTGAGTCGGTCTCCCAACAACTCAGTCTCTGTTTACCATTTAAAAGAGTTTGTCTTTCATCCAACTCAAACTCCACTACTCCTGTTTATTTTCCTTTGTCCCTACCTTTTTTGAATAAAACATTCCATTCAAAAATCATGCTGTACATTTAAGAAACTGTATTCTCTCTCTTTTTTTTTTCCTTTCTCCTTATTATCTTCTCATTTAGTAAAATATATAAATTCTTTATCATCTACGTAGTGATGCCAGATGCATATCAGGCACAGGGATTAGAGACCTCAGACCTCAGGTTACCCAATTATCATTCTTAACAATACAAAAAGAATAGCTGCTCAGATCAATCTCTAAAACCCCAAAGACAAATAAATAAAGTCTTACAGCGTCCAAAAAATACCACAAAGTAAAGCTATGAAACCAAGAAACAAGATCAAACCATCCATCCCTGCATTTCCTAATGAAAATGAAAAAGAATTCTTAATATTTACAATCAAACCTTTATGGAAGGCCCTTGGGCATCCATCACAAAGCAAAAGATCTCCACCATCTGCACAAATGATGCATACATCATCATTATCCTTGGCAGAATAACGACGACCTTTTGAGAGAGATATTGCCAATTCATGCAAAGACACCCCATTAGATGTGTAAATGTATGCATAGCTGCCAAAAACACAAATATAATCAAGATATACGTAACAAAGATAAAGTAACTTGGGAAGGAAGCTCTAAAGCTCTGATATGAAAACATACGGTTTTCGACGAGAAGCCCAACCAGCATGAGATTCAAACTGTGAGGGGCTAACCTGCACAATAAAAGGAAATAGCATAAACAGACACACAATGCAATTTCGAAATTTTGAAGCTCAAGCAATAAAAGCACAATACCTCACAATTGCAACAACGACAAATTATCCCAAAGCCCTTTTTGTAACCCTCAAGCAATCTCTGCCCATTAAAACTAATCACACTTTACACACCACTGAGATACAAAGGCATAAAATAAATTACTTTTATCTCAATTACCTGTCCACGGGCATAATATGCAACTTCAGTTCCATCAGGCAGTCCATCTTCTTCAAATACCAACTTATGCAATCGCTGATCTCTATAGGAAAAAAAAAATCAAAGAAGAAAAGGAGAAAGGAAAAGAAATTAGTCTACAAATATATTTAAAAGGTACCAACTTTGTTGTCATCTTCCATTGACTTCCAATGGGTGAATACATTGGCGATGAGGAATCTTTGAAGGTCTTTGACAACAAAACAGGTTTCAAAGGCCTGAGTTCCAACAAAAGCACAAAAGGGGAATAAGTATGAAGAAAATGCCAAAGATTATGAGAATAAGCTTCAATGAAAACAGGCCTTTGTGTCTCCAAACTTTGCAGCATAAGTCAGAAACATACCATCATAAAATGACAAAAAAAAAAGGATAAAAAAATGATACAAACTTCTTTTTTATTCTCCATTCGCCCTTATCTTGTGAGGAAATATGCACTGAAGCACTCTTCAAGGACTTCGCAAATAACCCTGGTTTTGTTAACCTGGAAATAACACAGATTTAAGTATGATGCACCAACTATAAGCCTATAAGAAAGGGAACACTATTTAAAGTTTAAACTACCACCTAGCACCACTATAGAGCTTCCAAATAGAACTATTTACTTCCCATGAATGGAATTGATTAAAGGCAGAATTATGCGACAGTAAATGACAACAGTAAGAAGGTCACGAACTTTCTGGTCTTCCATGGAGTTCTATTTTGTGAAGAAATAGATAATGAAGAATATGGTGGTGAATTTGATGTCAAATCAAGCTCTGTTGACCTGTGAAAAAAGGTAAAAAAATATCAATAATTCATCTCATTTTGAAACAAATATTTGCAGGCCTATTTATGAGCCAAAAAGGATGGCAAGAGATGGCACAGACAAAGAAAATAAAAATAAAATGGTACTAACTTGCTTGCTTTCTTCCATTGACTTTTATTTTGTGGAGAGATACCCAATGATGCACTTCCAAAGGACTGCGACATCAAAACTGGTTCTTGTGATCTGAAATAACACAAAAATAGAACATATAAAACAAGAAATATAGATGTTAACACCAGATACTAACTGATACACATTAAGAAAAATTATATCAAGAATAAATTAAAATTTACGAACTTCCTCGTTATCTTCCATTGACTTGTGGACTGTGGAAAGATACCCATTGAAGCAGTTCCAAGGGAATGTGATCTGAAATAGCACAATGCAACCATATAAAATAATGTGTCTAGACCTTAATACATGAAACAAACTGAAAACTATGAACAAACATCACTCTAGCATTTACTTACAACTTCAGTTATGTTAAATTTCACACTGTAAGTCAGTTTCATATCCACCCAGGGAAAAATGAATAAATTCCATTTCTATGAAGGAGTATGCATACTGAATAATTATCAGTCAAGTAAACTTAACATGCCCATTTTGCTATAATGTATCAATCAATTATAGCTGAATGGACAATCAAAAACTACATAAAATATCATACAAAGATTTGAATCTAACACCCTAAAAGGGATTACCGGTAATGAATTGTAATAAACGTTTGGTTACAAGAACGGGATAGTGCAAATTGTAAATAGTTTAGCATATCCAATGATAAAACTACAAAATTCAGACACATAACAATGCAATTATCAAACAAATAGAAAATTGAACTAATGAAGAACATTAAGATCCCTAACAAAGCAATGCTTTTACAAAGCAATGCTTAAAGAATGCATACCTAGCTCCAGCACTGGGTGCACTCATAGTGCTGCACTGAGATTTCTTTGACTCCACACATGAATTACAAAGCGGCCCTATTTGGCCAACATGTATTACTGGAAATGAACCTAGAAACAAATGAATGAAAAAAAGAATAAGATCCCAATACAATCAAAACCATTCTTGTTACTAGCCTCCGTCAATAATAATGAATTTAACAAAATAAAAGGTCACCTTTGCATCTTCTGCAAGTAAAAAATTTTTGCTCAGGTAAAGCACTAAGGATATTTTGAATTGTTGCTTCTAAGGTATGCAGAGGTCTTCTCCTGCATGCCCTCAACACCTCAAGGAGGCTCTTTCCATTTTCAAAGCAGATATATTGTGCTGCACGTTTGTATTGTTTACAAGCATGAATCTCGAATTGGGAAGGTGGAACAACCTAAAATAGGAAACCAAATGGCAGCAAAAAGTTCAATAACAGCAATTATCAATCATGGAATTCCACAGTACAACACTGCAACTTAGGAAAGAGATTGCTTACTCTGCGCCCCTTGCACAAGGAACACGAACACAAAATTCCTCCATCTGCAATGATGCCCCGAAGACCAGCTGTCTGAAATTAATATACAACTAATATTAAGCCTTAAGCTATGCAATACATTAAAATTTCAAAGTAATAGAAACAAAGAACAGAAACCATACATTCTTAAAAAAAAAAAAAAAGAGTAACAGGGGCAGCAAAGAATCACCTTACTACTTATTGTACCCATGTAAACCACTGGCACCCCATCGAGTAAACCAGTGTCAAAGAGCTCTTTAACTGTCATTGGGCACTTATTAAGGGCTATCTTTTTTGACATTTTCAACTCTAAATTCTTCCTTGGAGTCGTCAATCCACTTCCTTCAGCTGCTTCCTCTCCATTAAAATTTGATGCTAACACTTTTTCAACAGTCTGCTGTTTGCTCTCCAAACTTTCTACTGCTTCAACCTTTGGTCTCAAGATCGATTGTTTAGACTGCCTCAGGGCCTTCAAGAGTAAATCATCATTATTAGCATCACTACTGTCAACAATCTGCATCGAAGATCCTCTAAAACCTCCTTTCTGAACCAGACACATCTCCAGCTCATTCATTGACTCCTCTTTTGACATGACCATTGCCAAATTATAACTCGACACTTCATGAAACCTAGATTGAACAACAGGCCCACCATCTATTCTGATTTCCTCAACTACTAAGTTCCCTACAATGGCATTTTCTCCAATAATATGGCTCTCATCAATCGAAGCCTCTACAAGTAGACCCCCTTCAACAATATCTCGAACAACTAAGCTCTCATCAACCACATTTTCTACTATGATATTATCCCGTGATACATTTTCATTTCCCAGTCTACCTCGAATTACACCTTCAATCACATTATTGTTCACATCACTTGCTTCAATCAAAGTTTTATTCTTCTGATCCTCGTCAATTAAAGACTCTTTAACAGCATTTATCGGTGTATTAAATTGCTCGGGCTTTTTGTTTTCTAAATTTTCGGAAAGCTCATCACGGCAATTAATTCTTGACTTTTTAACTCGAGTGTAAACAATGTAACCATTCACTTGAGTACCTTTAACTCTTTTAAAGCTAGTACTAGAACTCGCCTGAGTTTGAGACTGAGTCACCGACTCCCGAGTTGGACCGAGTGAACTCTCCAACCCGAATTCCAACGCTCGCTTCATGTCTCACTCACTTCACTCTCAAAATCCACTAAAATTCTGCAAAAAAAAAAAAAAAAAATTTTTTTTAAAATCATTAATCAAATAAAAGAGAGTAAATTCGAAAAATTTAGCTGCTATAGAGTGATGGATTTTTACCGATTATGATCAGATAAAGGCCATGACAGATTTGATTTTGAGTAAGGAGAGTAAAAAAATATGGGGGAAATTAAAATGGAGGCTTTTGAGATCGGATTCGAGGAGATTTAGGGTTTTCGATTTAATCTTTTTGGATTTAAAGAGGAATCTGAAATTTGTGGGGCCTTTTTTTTGGGTTATCGTTGGGAGATGAAACCGACCAGCTCCATAGAGAGAGAGAGAGGGGTAGAGTGAGAATTAGAAGTGGAGGATTTTTAAGGGGACGGGGCAGTGACAAGATCCGTCAACACCAGAAAGTTGGAGATTTATATGAATTGACGATATTAGCCCATTTTAATTTCCTCGTTGCCTAAAGTAGCCCTTAATGATTCCAGAGTCCTGATGAGCGTGGTGCAGACCTTTTACTTTGTGTTTGTTGTGGCCCGTTAGGCCCATTTTACCGGTTTTAGATTAGGCCTAGCAATCCAAAAAAAGTTATAATAATTTATACATGATTAGATGTGGAATTTGGTAAACACTTAGGTGACGATAATTTTGAATTAACGAAAATGATCAAATAACTTGATAATTTAATTTTCATATAAAATAATGAAAAAAATTGTATTATTGATGTAACGTAATATATAAAATTAATAAATATTAATATTATTGTTTATTTAATATGTGAATTAAAATTTTTTTTAAAAATTATAATTATTTTATATTATAAATTTTTATATTTTCAAATTAACATTAATTTTAATAATTTTTTTTACTTTTTAATGTTTTATATAATATATAATACAATTTATTTATCTTTATTTTGCTATGATTTTAATAAATTAGCTTTATTTTTTAATTTGAATATTTTTACCTAATTTTATATTTTAAAAATTAGTTTTCTTTTCAATAAATATATTTGTTAATTTAATAATTGAATTCTATTTTATTATAAAGATAAATATTAGTAATATTTTATAAATTATTATTTTTAAATAATATTAAATTATTAATTTATATAATTGTATAATATGAATATGCATAATTATTTCGATATCTTAAAATAAAATAATTTTCAATTTTTAATAATATCAAATATATTAATTTTTAATTTTTAAAAATTAATAATAATTAACAAAAAATATTTTAAATCACAAATAATAAAATCGCTTTAATAATAATAATATTACCTCAATACTTGTTTAATTACGGTATAAAATTTGAAAATGATATCAAACTCTTCTTAAACAGAACGCGAAAGAGTAAAAGCAATTAAATGTATAGCATAATAATGTTATAGAAAGCCTTCACGTGTATGGTTTCTTCACTGTACAAATTTCCATTGACCCTAAAAGTTCATCAGTCATGATACAGAGCAAATTTATTCTGCAAAGACAACCCGGCATAAACTAGGTTGAAGCACACTGAAACTTTGGCCACTGGCCTACAAATACATAGGTAAGATACCAAAGTACCATACAGAAAAGCAGAAGATAACAAGAAAAAGGAAGTACAGCAAAATCTGACTCGCCCTGGGTAAAAGTTTCCTCGACCCTTCAAATCATACAAGGAAGTGGAGAGAGATACCGCTCGAGGAAGACAAAATGCCAAAGTATCGAAGTTGCCCTATAAGAGACAAATCGCCCTTAAGGAGCGTGATTCAGTTTCAAACAATCTCCATTAATTCCCACTTTCCTTGGAAAAGATTGGTGGGAAATGATAAAAAAGAACCATGAAAGAAAGAGCACCATCAGCAAGAAACAAGGCGCCTTGGCTACCCCTGCCTTGCGGGGTTTGAGCATTTGATGCCATTGGCAGGGGCGGCCAATGGTGCAGAATTAAGAGGGTTTATACTGAAGCTTTGTAAGGGCCATATAGGTTACAATTTTTTATTCATTAGTACATGTGTTGTCACTTCTTGGTAAAGGGAAAGCAAAAAGTGAAGTGGAAAGAGTGAACTGGACGTTGCTAGTTTGAGCATCTTCCAAGGGATATGCTATTGCCACCAGCCCTAATTTGGGCCACATATGATGACAGCACTCTTTTCTTTCTTTCCTTCATTTCTTTTTTCAAGCCCCTAGGATTTTATATTGCGATGGCTACCGTTTCCTGTTTATCGCATCGGGATAGCCCCTTTCATCCTGTCGCGGATCACGTTTCACGAATGGGACTTGTCGACCACACACGTCCTGCCAGGTGCAACAAATTTTGGGCTGAGAGGTCTATACGCCGCTACTGAATATTAGTAGGAAAGTGAACTTAATTGAAGAGTTGACTCTTGATATAATTTTAAATCTCAAAATTTACCAACTATTCGAAATTTGCTAGCACGAGAATATGATTTTTCTAGGAAAGAAAAGCAGAAACAATCCAACTAAGGAATCTCTAACCCTGGAATCCAGTTTTGAATTTTGATAAAGAAAAATAAAGGATTTGATTGAAACTTCTCATCGTTAAAGATCCAATTTCTAGCACGTGGCATCATATTATACCATGTTCACAAAGCATTCTGTAGTTTGATTCGCACAAAATAAAAACCTCACAAAAGGGCATGTCATATTTAATAGAGGGATGGCTTTTTCTTTATTGTTCTATAGATTTTTCTAGTCTGAATAAGATTCACGTTCTGCGTGACACCAGCAGTATCATTCTTTTGTTCTCTGAAACAGAGAACTTAGATACTCTTTTTTTTTTTTTTTTATGGCGTAATGCCTTTAATTTTAAGCACAATTCTCACTTTGCTGATTCGTGACTCATGCAGTATAAAGTGCAATACCAAATTATATAGGCAGTAGTTTTCTTTTACCAATGAAAGCAAGGCTCACCTACGGATTTGTAAACTAGCAATCAAAAGTTACTTTTATCCATAGATGTTGGGATTAAAATTTCAAATTTATTAAATTTATTAGATGTTATATTTTAAAAATATTACAAGAAATAATGTGGAGTTCTTTACAAACTAAATGTCTAAATGCCTTATTTACACACAAAATCCACTTCTTTTTTCAACGAAAAGGAGATTGAATTTAGTTCTAAATCTGTCTTGAGAATGTGCTTCAGGATTCTGGCCTGCTGGCATGAATAGACCAAAAATATTGCATTAATATGGTACTCTTGCCTACAATCAGGCTGCCATCGGCAAAGCCTGGGGGATTTTATTGGTTACAAACCCAGAGAAGCAACTTTGTTTTTTGTCTATGGAAAACATACTTTCTCGAATATCAATGAGATTGAGTGTAGCTAGCACAGTATTTTATGAGCATTTTGTAAGGACGGGGGGGAATGAAAGAAATTGCTTAAAATTGGAAAAGAATTGCTTAATTGGAAGGGTTTGAGGACCACCTCCTCATACTCTTGACTCCTCTAAGTTTCATGACAAGTTCTTCTCTCTGAGCTTCTACTTCTGCATATTTAAGGCTCATGTGGAGATAACGCTCGCGTATGTCTCTTAGCTCTGCCTCCAGAGATGATTTTGTACGTTCATACTTTTCTTTTGCTACAACTTCACCTTCAATGGGTGATTTTCTAGGTGTATTTAATTGACTTCTCCGACCCTCTGATGACCTGGAAGATGATAGCAGTAGGATAAGCAGGATTCATGGAGTTGAACTTTATGGGAAGATAAATTATGGGTTTTGACGCTGTAACATGTTCCTACTCCACTCACCTATTTAGACGAACTTTATACTTGTTGTTTGCTTCCATAGCCTTGGCAAGTTCATTTTCAAGGAACTGAATCTTAGAGACAGGAGCAACTCCAACAGATTGAGGGCTTCCATCATGGAAATCGTAATTATTGTCCTGGATTGAAAGATGAAAAAAGGAATTGAATGCTCAAAGGGTGAGATGGAAGCATTTCCTAAAAGAAAACTATCAATTATACGATTTCATATAGGAATCAACAAGATGTAAATGCAGTAAAAAAGAAGTCAATTCTAAATCTAGCAATTATAAAATTTCATAATGGAAGTGAAGTTCTTACTTCTCTTTTATGTTGGTTTCTGTGGGAATTGGACTGCCGCTGCTTCTGTTTCTCTTCCACTTTCAGTTTCAATTTTTCTTCAAGGGTTTGAGCTTTTATCAGAAGCTCATCTTTCTCTTCTTGCAGCTGTTTTATTTGCTGCTGGAATTGTCTGTTTGTTTGCTTGATCTGGTGAAGCTCATTTTTAAGCTCTGCATTATCCATTAATAATGCCTCTTTTGCCATGAGGTCAGCCTCCATCCGCACAAGTGTTTCTTCCAAGGCTACTTTTTCGTGTTTATAGTCCTCTAATTCTGATACAACCTCTTGCAAGGTAGATATCTGCTCCAAAAAGGAATTTTTCTCTGCCTTCAAATCATCACATTCTCCAGATACTAAAGAGAATGAAGCTTCCAGTTTCTCTTTGTCAGCTTTAATTGCATCACGCTCATCTCTGAGAGCCAAAATGTCATCCTGAAGATTTTCTAGTTTCATCAGCTGAACTTTCATATTGGTAGATTGTTCTGATCCTTTCTGCCTTTCATATTCAGAAACAGTTAGCTTTAGTTCAAGACCATTCACAATGGTTTTAAGTTTCCGTTCACTGGACTTGTAACTCTCCAACAACTTTAGAGCTCTTTCATGCTCTGCCATCAGTTTTTCCCGGTTTTCTCTGGAGGCTGCAAGTTCATCCAACAGGTCTTCCACTTTTGTTTTAGCTTCAGTATGTAATTTCTTGAGTTCATTTTCAGTATGTTTCATTTTCGATTCGGCTTCTTGGAGAGCTGACTCCAGTCTAACTTTTCCTGCATGTAAACTAGAAATTTCACGTAAAGCATCATAAGCTGTTTTCTCTTTCTCATTATTCACTTCAGAGAGTTGCTTTGAAAGGTTTTCCACCTCTTGTTGAAGATTCGCAACTTCATTTGTCTTCTTCAAATACATTTGATTCCAGGAGCTTTCTTCAAGCTTCTGTTTCGCCTCAAGTTTCTTGCTTTTGTCATGAATGGCATCCAATTCCAAAGTCAGGCTTTCCTCTCTTGATGCAAAATCTTCAATCACCAAAGTAAGATTTTCTTCCAAAACTTCAATCTTTTTGTTGCAATCAGTCAAGTTTTTATCTGACTCTCTCAATTTGGCCGCCAAGTAAGCACAATGCTGATCCAATTTTGACTTTTCCTTCCTCAATTCTCCAGCTGACTTCTTATGTGAATTGCTTTCTTCGATGAGTGTCTCAGTAGTTGCTTGTAACTTTGCATTTGTTCTTCTCAGATATTCACACATATCTTGAGAAGCTAACCACTGATCGCGCATATCCTGCAGATGCGTTTCCATATCTGTTTTTTGAGCCTCCATCTCTTTTCTAGATCTTGTATTCTCATCCTTGAGACTTGTAGCAAGTGATTTCGAATCCTCAAGTTGCATTTGAGTTGAATCCCTCTCATCTTTCAAATCTTCTAGTTGATCTTCCATAAGGGACAGGCGTAATGACAACTGCTTATTTTCATCTTCCAGCTCTAATAAATGTATTTCAAGTTCATGTTTTACTCTTTCTAGGGCTGAAGACTTCCTCTCAGGAAACTTATCAGCAGAAACATCGGAATCCATGCTGCTGCTCAGCACCATCATATCATTTCGCAGATCATCCAGGCACTTGGTAGCACTATCACTTTCTCTTTGGACGACTTCCATCTTAGCCTCTAGTTGAACCTTTTCTCTTTGGAGATTAGACACCTCAGCCTCTAGTTTACTTTGATTCCGTCTAAGTTCCACATTCTCCTCTTCCTTTGACTGCATAGTAGCCTCCAGTGTTTGTATTTCAGTCCTTTTTTGAGTTAACTCCTTTCCTACTTCAGTTACTTCGGATTCCAAATCCATTTTCTGACTTTCAAGTTCCTGAATGTAACTATTATAGTCACTTTGAATCTCCCTGAGAATTTTCTTTTTAAGCTTCTCTTCAAGAAAAAGCATTTGTGACTTGTCTTCACTCATTTTGAACCCGGTACTAGCTGAAAGCTCATCTGATGAAAAATCAGGGGTTGTAACTCCTTTGAAATTGTTCTTCGTTTCCTTTAGCTTCAGTAGTAATTCAAGGTTTTCATCAGTCAGCTCATTGCAATCACTTTCTAACTCTTCTAGTTTTGCTTTCAAGGCTTCAATTTCTCTGATCAGATTTGCATCACCACCCTTTCTGGACTCCAGTTTCACAAAATGTCTTTCTTTGAGAGACTCGGATAGCTTTACTTTCAAACCGACAATTTCTCTTTCTTTGGCTGCTAAATTATTTTTGTATTCTTCCTCGATATCCAAAAGGCAAGCACTTTTTTCAGACTCCATCTCATCTTCTTTGTCCTTCAAGGCCTTTTCAAGAAGTTGAACCTTGGCCTGCAAATTCTTCTCTGATTCTTTTGATTGCCGCAGCTGGATAACCAAGTTCCTATTTTCCTCTGTGTTTAGCTGGATAGAGTTTTCCAGTCCTCTGAATTGTGACTGCAGGGATGAAATATTCTCCATTTCAACTCTTTGCTTTTCTACGGTCCCTTCCAGCTCCTGAAGAACTGAAACAAGCTCAGCATTTGCATCTTGACTCCTCTTCAACTGCAAAGCCAGGTTAGCATTGGACTCTTTTTGGAACTTAATTTCATTTCCCAACTCCTGATGATTGTGGGTTACTCCTTCATCCTGAAATGTTGAATCTTCCAAGGTTGTTTGTTTCACCATTGACTTCTCCAACAACAATTTCAGCTGTTCAACTTCTTTCCTTAGTCCATCACATTCTGAATTTGCTGCTGATAGTTCCATATCCAAATTTGCTTGATTTTTGGACTGGTCAGAGTATTCTTTCCTCAGTATGTCTAAGTCAAGCATTAACTTCTCGGCATTCCTCTTCCACATCTTTGCTTCTGCAGGAAGTTCTTCAATCGTTTTTTCTGCTGCTTCAAGAAGATTCTTAGAAGAATCTGTGACTCTCAGAGTTGATGCAGAAAACTCCTTCTGATTATCCGAAAAAGTGCTTTGTGAATCCATAATTTGTGAATCAAATGATGAATGATTTGATTGAGAAGGATCATCAAGATTACAATTCCCATCAGGTAAACTGTATTGAAAAGTGGGTGAATCTTGTTTTTGTATCTGGTTCTGTGCATCACCATTCAAATTGCTTACTGGAGAGAAACTTTCCCTCCCTATGGAACTCTCTGCTGAATCATAGCTGTGAAGTGATTGTGAATCTGAAGTCGAGAAACTTGCTTCCTATAAAGAAGGAAGAAATTCTGTTAGTTTCCAGGACAACAAATATGACAAACATATTAAAAATAGATTTGTTTGTACACGAAAATTTGCAACTCTCTTCCTCCAAGAATGTAATAACTCATGGCAAACAGTTTACGATTCAAGAACCAAAAAAATGAGAGCAGAACGTACCCTACTCTCAAGTTCTCCTTGGTGTGGGGCAGAGACCAAATCTTGACTAGGGGACGATCCGACACTCTTTGCTGTTACACTCTTTGTCCCATCCGAATTAAGGCTCAGATCAGGAGGGTCAGTGTTATTACCGTCTTCATGGGAATTTGTCTGCTTTGATTCATCTTCCCTGAAATAATCCATACCAAATCGTCTAATCCTATAGAACATCTAAGAAAAAGAAAAAAAAATGGGAACAAAGGGCTCTGGAGGATACTAACATTGGTTGTGGTCTTGGTGTCAAACAATGAATTTTTACCTGCATATAAAAAATTATAAGCATAATGTTGTTAGAAACAAAACTTTGCTTCAATTTATGTCTAATTCAGATTAGCAAAATGCTTTGATTTCTGCATTATCGTTTTCTTATTACTCCCATTGCGATATAAAAAAAAATCATTCAGCTAACTTCTAATTTGATAGTAATAATTTCCAGTTTCATGTTCCGCCAATGCTCTTTTTACGCAAAATGTACGTCCTGGAGACAGCAGCTAAATGGAAAAAAAAAATTGTATAGCATACTGTACTGTATAAGTATCCATGAAATTAAAAAGAAATTAGGAATTTTAAACATGTATTGAGAAAAAAAAGTGAAATAATAATGATCTTATTATCAATTCTTAACCAAAAAAGGTTATTTCATTGTTCTGCTTTGAAGTAGGTGAAAGTTTTCTGCTCTCGGTGAAATACCAACAATTTGGTAGGGCATGGCAGCTCTGGTTTTCGTTATAAACTAGATAGTGGCAAAGGTGAATTTGGTAAGTGACTATCTTTCTAAGATTTTAGTTCAATTTTCATCTCTTCCAAACCTGGATTTTCTTTATATAAATGAAATAAAAAATTGAGAATATGAAAAAAATTACAAATGTTACGATTTTGAAATTTTTACTTTTTTACATCATTTTTTAAAAATAATTATATAAATCGAGTTAAATTATAGATTTCTTACGAACACGAATTTCGTAACAACTAACAAAACTAAGATACTAAAAAATTTCCAATCAAATAATCCCTGTAATTGCCAGCCTATGTATTTAAAGCAATCTCAACCATATTTTCCGAGTTTCAACATGTTAGTGCAACGAATGATCCAGGGGCCAAACCCAGTAAAGGCCATTTAGCCATAAAAGAAAAGGTTTACTCATAGGACCCTAGCTCCTATGGCCAGCCCCAGCGCCTTAAAACGGGTCAGTTAACTACCGAGCCGAAGGGCTCCTCGGCTTGGTCTTTATTCCATTCAAATTTTTTCAATTTAGAGTCACCATAATTTTTTGTTTTTCTGACCAAGTAATCACGATCATCACCTGTTCTATATGGATTACATTTTGATCTCTTTAAAATAAAAACCAAAAAAGAAAAGGAGGAAAAGATAAAACAGGTCTTGAACAGAAGAAAAAAAAAAACCAAAGGAGAGAAAATCATATTGTTGATACTCACTTGCAAAATTGTCCCATGGCTACATTTTTTCAATGGCAATGAAACTGGAACAATGACGGTTGAATTTATATAGCCAGTCATGTTCACTGTAGCCTCTCCAAGAATACCAGATCTGGCTGATCCCTGCAATTCAACATTCATTTGCAACATTTACATGTTATTAACATGGCCAGATCAGGTTCACAGAACAATATACAGAAGAAAATGTGTCATTCCCCAGCAAAAATAAGAAGGATGTTAAGAATTCAATCATGGAGCTGAAACTGATCACTGGAAACAAAGATCAACATTTTTATTAACATTACCATTGCAACAACAAACTTGAAAAGACAATCTCCAATCTCATCGGGAGCCTGTTTTCCTGAAACCCAAATAGATTCTGACAGTGTCTCTGTCCATTGAGAAGTTCCATTTCGAGCTACTGCTTTGCCTGTCTTAGCAATGATTTTCCCATTCTCCACAGAGACAATAGACATAAACAACCTGTCCCATCCTTTTGGTACCTATCAAAACATACCAGAAAACACGCAATGTTTTCAAAAATGGAACAAAGGAAAAAACAAAACAGAAGAAGACTACGACACTATGAATTACCTGAACAGCTTTGAAATTGGAGAATTTAAAATCAATCTTTTCCCCTGATTTATTAGTTGGCCTTGTTTTGTGCAACCTGAACATTGTTTTTCCAGCTTTTTTTTCCTATATCCTTTCTTTCTGAATTAATCTGCAAATTTCAGAGAAAACGTAGCAAAAACATTACTACCTAAAGGGAGATTGTTAGCTTGCTGGTCATTGTTGTGAAGCATACTGGTTAACTTTATTGTCCTTCTATGAAGAGAAAAACTCTGGTGAACCAAATTTTATACTACTACACTTGCAACAATCTGACACATGTACAAAAGTCAACATTGAAGCAAGACTTTGAGATTTCTGGCCCCCCAAAAAAGGTGAGTTTGAGATGGCTCAAAATAAGTTGCTGGTGATTTAAGCTGGTAAGAAAGTTCCAATAGGCGTGCAAACAAACTGGACATAACTGCCCTGAGACAAAAGTAGAACAAGGTTGGGTGATTAATCAAGATTCAACGGTCTAATCATTAGGAAATGGGAGAAACATAAAAATCAATATTTAGGTGATTATACCAATATGATTTTTGGGTTTTAATCTCCACCTTAGCTTTGTTCGATAAATTCCATTCTATAAAAAAATTGTCTTATTCTCGTATCTGCCAAAGTCTCTCTTGTAATTGCCTGAGGTGTTATTACGTGGGTATGGCCGCAGGGTACCTCTAATTATTTATTTTTATAAATAGTTTGGTCTCTTGAAATATTTCCATGACCAAAGGACTTATAAGAAAAATATTAAAAAGAAATATATGTATATGAGCTAAACATTAAATTTAGAAGTTAGAAGTGTTCATAAATTGAATCAAAAATCAAATTTGATTGTTAGTTTTAAAATTTCGCTTAGAGCTTAGCTCGATTTGCACATTTAAACTTGAATGGATCCACTATTATTTTTTTAAAAAATAAAAATTATTTATATATTAATATTTTAAAATGTATTTTGGAATTAAGTTTAAATAAAAAATATTTTTAATTAATAACATGATTTCAGTTGGGCTGGCCTTAAAATCCTTATTCAAGGCCCGACTTACATTCGATCCCACCCGTGGGTCTGGTGAACAGTTCGGACCATAGATAAAGCGAGCTGCCACTATTGTTTTAATGTGAAAATAAAGCAATAAAAGATTCACAAGGAACTCAATTATTTTTAAAGGGGTAGTTAGGATTACTAAGGAGTATTTATAGGCCACTGAAGGTGCTTTAGACACTATTTATCAGTAAATATATCTCTTCCCTAAGGTTGTAACTTTAAAATATAAGTCACTTTCAAACATTAAGGAAAACAAAATTTGTTCATTGTAATCGATTAATTCATATTTCCCAAAATTTATGGTTGCTCGTTTATTAATTGATCAACTAATTTGCTCTAGAGGCTTGAGACCATCAATTAATTGCATATATTAATCAATTATTTATTGAAAAGTTACAACCAAGGTTGTAAATTTCGTAGAGGAAAATATTTTGGTTTTTTTATTTACAATGAGATTTGTTTCGTTGTTACGTTATTTTGAATTTTTTTTATTTAATTAAAAAATATTTATAAATACATATATACTCATATATATAATAATATTAATAATAATATGCAAAACAAATATATAAAAGATTTAATATTGATAATGATAAGTATAAAATTAATAAAATTACTTTTATAACAAAATTGATAATACATTTATCTATTTATGATCCTATTAACTATAAATATATCTACTTCAATATTAAAACAAATAATAAAGCCATACTTTTCTTTTTAATTTTATATTATTTTCTTTCTTTTTCTCTTTAATTATTATTTTTTATTTACCAAATCATGGTTGCTCCATTAGACACGATTAATTTTTCAACAATAAAATATTTTTAACATTTAAGTACAGATTGAAAAATAAAATTTGTTGAAATCAAACAAAATCGTCCAAAAGTCACGAAACCAACAAGATTGGTACAAAAAATTACTTTTAATATCAGATTTTATCAAAATCAACATGTATTGGACTAAAACGAGATTAACAACTATTGTTCCAACATTTAGATTTTTATGTTGCTTAAACCAAATAAAATAATAACTTATTTTTTAAAAAATGTGAGGTTGTCAGGAATTGGACTTTAATTAATAAAATTAAAATTAAAACTTCACTTATTAGACCTGATGATCAGGAAGCTTTGCTGCTAGCCACACTTAATTGGTAAGCATAAGTCTTTTATTTAATTACATGTAACTGATACATTGAATTGTTTTCTGTTAGATGTACATTACAATTTTATGCTTTCTTCAACAGTCACGAGTCTGAAATTCCGTCTGTTTTGAGTACTTTGGTGTTCATCATATGTTTGAAAGCTTACATGACTGAGGAAGAGGCTGATAAAGTTGGCTCACTTTCTTACACGCACCACTTTTACCATTTCCCTTTAGGAAATACTAGCTCCGTAGTAAAGTTTGTTCTCCTCTTTTTCAAAGAAGTTGAATTTGTGGAGCCACGTCGTGTTGTATTCCTAGGGTTTGATAAGTACCTGGTAGGAACTTGTCGCGCAAGGCAATGAAACTTCAACTATATTAGGTGCTTTAATCTGATGTAAATTTTGTCTTGTCATGCAAAGCTGTTCGAAAGATTCTCTGGTGTTAAGACTTAAACCAACCAACAATTTATCAAGAGGGGGGGAGGATATATTGTGAACAACCTACAATCCTTCGTATTTAAGGCTTATTTATGCATTTTGTGTCCTACTCTAACTACATGTTTCAATAGCTGAATCACATTGCAAATCTTATCTTGTTAGGCCATGGCTGTTGCTGTCAATTTCTCAGCACAAGCCCTCCGACTGCGAGAGAGGACATGTCCTAGGGCAATGAAAGGCCTCGCCCTCATTTCAACTTGCAAAAGAGAATGACGAAGCAGCCTTAGCCATTAAAAGGCAGGCAAAAAATATAACAAAAAAAGAAATTATCCAACAACTATGAGGTCTCTTCGATTTGCCGAGCTCACAGGGTTGGAATGTGTAGCTCGATTAGGTTTAGAGTTATATGTATAAAGATTGTCTTTATTTTGTATTTAATCGGTCTTTATAAAAGGTATAATCAACCGTTTAATGTGAGAAACTCTTATGTTTCAATCTCTAACTAGATTTATCAAATCTAAACCCTATGTCTTAATATCTAATTAATTTAATGTAAGAAAATGAATTGATTTTTAATCTAATAATTGATACAGACAACCTATATTAAAATTAAAAAAAAAAACCAATATTAAAATATATATTAGCATAAGACTTAAATTTATCAATTTAGTAAGGGTGATGATTAAATTCATTAGTTATCTTTAAATAGATATAATTTTATTACTGCATTTATAATTTGATTAAAAAATGATAATTTTTTATAAAATATTCTTTTTTATTTTTTATTAAATATTTTTTTATCATTAACTTTTGATCAGATGCGTCCATGAACAGGACTAGATCAAGGCAAACTTCTTTGATATCTCTAAAACTCAAGTTTAGGCTTTTCCCTCCTTTTATGTTGTTTTTATTATAAAATATAAAAAAGTAATTTTATATTATAAATAGAAATATCAAATTGATATAAAATGTTTTAGACATAGCGTTATGCATTATTATTATTATTATTATTTATGAATTAAATTAAAAAGTATTATGATAAAACTATATTCGTTTAAAAAGAAGTTATAAATTTAATCTATCATGTTAAATGGAGTGAAATTTAAATATTATCCTAAAATATTTAATGTAATTACCCTATCAATTTTCAAAATATTAGTATTTCACTTATAAAGGGGTGTATCAACTATAATTATTATAATATAATTAATTAATTATAATTTAAAATTATGTGAATCTATCAAAATTTTGTATTTGATTTATTTTGTAAAACTTGACCACAAACAAAACATCTTCTCTTTCCGTTTGTTTGGAGAGTGAAAGGGGAACAGAACAGAACTCAACTACACTCGTATGAACTTGACAGTGGTTCATCCTAAAACACATATAAGAAACCATGCTATCTTGTGTTACTCATAGTACTTTGTCTTACCTTTCACTTCCTTATCAAAGACCTTCCATTAATATCCCACTTCAATCTTTCTCAGTTAAATCTTCCATTCAAAAAGCTCCCACCACCAAACCCAAACCAACAATCCCTCCAAAGTCCACCTCTTGGGTCAGCCCCAATTGGCTTACTTCTTTGACCAAGTCCCTAACAATTGGCTCAAACCATGATCCAGGGATACTTATAGTCAGTGCTCGGTTGGATGGGATGTCTCTGAACTCCTTGGCGGTGCCTTGTTTTTGCCATTGTTTAAGTGGATGAATGAATATGGACCTATCTATCGGCTTGCAGCTGGTCCTAGGAATTTTGTGGTGGTTAGTGACCCTGCCATTGCCAAGCACGTACTATGGAATTATGGCAATTATGCTAAAGGACTTGTCTCTGAGGCTATGAAGCGCGGACACGGGGAAACCGCGGCGTACTGGTGTTCGACACGGACACGTCGCGGACAAGGCGGAAAACGTACGGGACACGGCCGAACACTATAAAAAATAAAAAAAAATTGGACACGGTGACGACACGTCTAGACACCTTAACGCTTACCAGATTTGCTTCCTCTAGAAGCGCGAACCAGAAGAAGAAGAAGAAGAAGAACAGGAACGGTGACATTGAAAAATGGGTATAGTTTACACGAGAAGCTGAGTTATATGAAAGGGTTTATTATCCTTTGAAGCACCTAATACTTGAAAATCCCAACTGAAGTTGAATCAAAGCAAGAACTTTCAAACAAATCAAATCCACTAGAACTATTGGGCCATTTAAAATCTTAAATAATAACTGGTTTTTATTTGAGGCAAAATCTTAGAACAACCGGCATTTGGTTTGGTGGAGGAACTGCGTAAACCTCGTCGAAGTCGTTGGAGAATGCGATGCCACTCGTTGTACAGGAAGCTTCTTGTATGAATGGAGATGGAAGGGCTCTTTCATCGAGAGAGGAACCCGAAATTTTTAATCTGGTTTTTTGCTTGGTTACCATGATTAGTAAGGAAAAAAAAAAGTTGAGGCCAGTCTGAAGTTTTTTTTAGGCGTTCATTTATCAGTTCCTTAAGTTGGTTTAAGCCCACTAAGATTGTAAGAGCAAATCGTCCAGAATTTG